TTGGAAAACTGGTTTTGAGATCCAGTACTTTTACTAAGTGCATTGTTATTAGTAACAATCTCATATTCACACATGGGAAGTGCTAACAAGAAACGGAGGAGTTTCTTACTAATATTTGGACTCGCTAATTCTATCCAATCTAGGCATTTCAGATTTTCTCTAAAAGGTTTCCTTCTTTCAATGAATGATTCTAGTCTACTTTCATCAACTCTAAATAACTCCCGGATGATTGCTTTGTAATCCACCATTGGTTCATTCCACGAGGAGAAAAATTCATGGTAGTTGTAAGTATCTGTAACTTCTCTATCAATGCATTTGTCAACTGCTTGATATAATGGTTGTTGTAGTAGGTCCTCGAGATATATTGACCCGCTCATTTAGCTGTTAATACTGGTAATGATAATAATAATAATATAGCTGTTAAGAATATTGCTCAAGCAAATAAAGGCATGCTTACCATCGTTTATTCTTTATTAGGTCTCATGAACCATGCAAATGCTGTACATTCGAAAGGAATCCAAAAGCCTTTTATGCTTTCCATTTGTTCTGCAAAGTAAGAAATGTGGTATGCTACTTGCATCATATTTGTTTCACCTGTTTAAGATTCAATTCTTAAGCTTATAGACTGAAACTTCTTGAAACCAAGGGAATCATATTTTATACCAGATATCCGAGCGAAGCGCCCTAATCCTAATACATTGGTATAGAATTGTGTGAACAGTTGAACTCATTAGACTTGATACTAAAATTTTTGTTATGTTACTTTTTTCATAAATAAGCGTCAATCGGGTATTGACATTTAGGCATATCAGGCCTATAATATCATCTAGTTCAGTTCTGTTTCATGTCTTCGACAATAAAGTAAACAAAATATCAAGAAATCATAGAGGTATTCTTATTTAGAATTTTGGACCGCACGCTTTACTCTAAAAATGCAACCAATAGATTGATGATTAGATTAATTACTCCTTATTTAGTTTCTAATTTCTAATCTTCCTTTGAAATTGACAAGATACTTCCTCTTATACTTTCAGTCGTAGGTGTAATAGACTCATTTGAAATTCACAGAGTTTTTCCAATTGTAGGTGTATAATTGCAATAAAGTCTTTGTAAGGGAACTGGGTCTAAATTAGGTAATTCATATAACTAGCACTTGATGTACTATGTAGATTCTACTAACTAACTTTATCTTAACTTATGGATTAACTGACTAATTACTTTCTATTTAGGTCCTAATTTTCTTAATCTCCGTTCTGATTTACCGGGATCCTTCTTCCAACTTATAGTATTCTAATTGTACTTTGTAACATTCTCATACCTTACAACATTCTGTGCTAAAACTCATATACCGATCATGTTTGCATACATACGAGCATGTTCTCTTACAGTCTGTAAGGAAACTGGGGAAATATGGTAATTCTTATATACATATATTAATATATGAATACTTGTGTTATCATACAGATTTATAATATGGAGGGTTGGCCGAGTGGTCTAAGGCGGCAGACTTAAGATCTGCTGGACAGTTGTCCGCGCGAGTTCGAACCTCGCATCCTTCATTATTTTTGTTAATAGGCTAAAGCTTTTCGTGTAATTCCAAAACGCGTATATCATTATTGACCGGGTAAATACAATTATTTAACTTCAAAAAGCTGCAATATAGTAACATTTGGTTGAATATAGCTATAATCAAGTACATAAATCAACAGAAATTCACAGATCTAGTGTGAGGCGATAAGAAGGAAATATCGAGGGGATTTAAGTAAAAAATTGCTAAAAATACAAAAGAAGACGATATAGATGGATTCGAATATCGACCCTTCAATTGCAGAACTGGAGTTATTCCATGTATCACCATCGCTTGAACGTACAACTAAACATCACGCGGGCATATCGGGTGGAGAAGTTGACAGAGCAGAAGATGATCATGTTTCGATACCGAATGTCTTCAGATTGAACGAATATGTTGCAGATCATCATGCCACTAGCAACGATCATCATCATGAAGACAACGACTCTACAGCGGCGGCTGCTTTAAATATGATTCAATTCAATAATTTTGACGAAAGTCATGTAGAGGATACAAATAATGAGCGTGAAGGACATAATAATTTAGGGACAGGGGCACATTTCAACCATTTTTCAGATGAACAGATACTTCAGGATGATACGCATCCCTATGATGTGGGCCAACCTCAGGCAAAAGCAGCCGTTAAGGTTGTTCCGTATAATCCGTCGGAGAAAACAAAAAGATTGGGAAGACCCCGTAAGAATCTTTCAAATACACTAGCGACCCCAGAAAACTCATCCTCTCAGAATTATAACGAAGCCGTAGTGTCCAAATTCAGGTTAGACAGATTACCTTTGGAAGGACCAGGTTCGCGAGGAGGAAAACTGGGAGCTAGAAGAAGTCCACGAGGACGAATCACCTCAGGTTCTATTAAGAAACGAAAACAACAGGCTTTATTAGGGAGTATGACAAGTGTGGATGCCAATGGTAATAAGACATCGATGGTTACTTTAGAAGCAAAGCCACCTACAGTATACGATCTGTCTCAAAGCAAGGAAGAGATAACTGAAGAAGTACTTAATACGACGCAAAATGTTGAAGACGATATCGAAATACAATCCCCGGCATCTATGCTAAGGAAACTGAAATATGTGACATTTGATGCATATGACGGTAGAAGCGGTCAAAATGATTCAGGCCACGATAAAATTCCAAGTTCGAATATAACTGAAGCAGTCAAGGAAGCTCAAAGAGGGCTGGTCAGAAACGAACAAAATATAATTCGGCAAGTTAGAAAGCGTATACCGACAACCGCAAACCAAAAAAAGAACCGTCCATTTCGAGGATCCTCTAGAGTTACAAACACAAGTCGTACTACTGTGCGTAATAATCGTCATAGACCAACAAGGCATTTACCGGGTCCTGTAATTGGATTATACTATGATTTATATGATGATAACATTTTGCAGGCCCAGCAGAATATTGAGCCAGCTTCGGAGAAACTAGCTCTAGGATTTCCTATAGTTAAGTCGCCATACGCAAATGAGATATCATACATTATAGCCTATTTGAACAAGTTTAAAGAAGTTATATTTGGTGATAATGTAGTAAATTTAGGGCCCCAGGATATAGAGTCTGGATTAAGCTTACCTCCTCTTCGAGGAACCGGTGAGATACACGATAGGTTCAATAGCAGGTTGATAGAAAGCTCCAATGTTGACGATTCGACGGATACTTCCCCAATAATTAACAAATTATTCTGTCGGTTGTTAACGTTAGTTTTAAACAGAAAAAAAGAAGTCAACCCAGTGTCCCCCTCAAAGGCGATTGCAGAGTTAAAGTCGATGGCTTTATATCTTGGGCTTCCGAAAGAATGGAGAGATGATAACGGTATTTTAGACAAAAAGAAAATGCAGGTTGCAAAAGATGTTGAACCAGTTGATAAGGATAAATCAGAAATTTTATCTAATGATTATTACACTTATCAGCTGCCGTCTGCTAAAACTAACCCTTTCAATAACTCGCCAGATTTTGAATCGATGGGGCTCCAAGGTATTCAAAATCCCATGGATAGATTATTAATGCTCCGCTGTTTAATGCAATGGTCTTTGACGACCTCTGATGTTATAAAAAATGTGATTACCCAAAGCCTTCAAAATCAGGATATTTCTGGAGAGAAAGAAACGTCTTACGCTGCAAGGTCGATATTGAAGGGTTTCAAGAATACAGAAGAAGTGAGAAGAGAATGTGAATTAAAGATTAATAAAAAGCATAGTGGGTCTCAGAATGAAGTTCGTGAAACTCCTGAAAATGATATTGTTGCAAAATATGTTGATCCTACTTCAGATCCATTGGCTCATAGTATGAGATTGAGATTAGATGAACTATTTGCTGGAGACATTGGTTTTAATATAGGTAGGTTCTACCTCTGCAGAATGGCCGACACAGACAACGGTGGATTGGCCTCAATGAAAAAAATGGCATATACGTGGAATAACATAAATGAAATCGCATCTTGTTTGCCGTCAAAGTTTAAGTTATATGTACAAGATGTACATCAAATGCTTACGGAATCTTTAACAAAAGATGGTGTGGAGTTTGACGAGAATGGTGAAGAACTTGAAAATCTACCTGTCGAAGATTCTATTCATTGGTATGAAGTTGCGTCTAATGCAAATGAATTGACAGAATTTGTGAAATTTTTATCCATGAAATTGGATTTAGAAAACTCCCCAGAACCGATCTCTCGATTATCGAAGACATCAATGATCTACAAACCAGTATTAAATATGTATAATTACTTGTCTTCAAGTGTACCCTTAATAGCTAATCAAGAAAAATTGGACACAGATTCTAGATCATCTAGAAATAAATCTGTTGATTACAAATATGATTATGCTGCGAATATGGACCAAGAGGAAGATGAAGACGAGATTATTGTAGAGCATGCTGAAGTAGAGAAAGGTGATGACGATGATTATGAAGAAGAGGAAGATGGAAACGATGATCAAGATTATTTGGATTAATTCCAATCGTTGGTGTACATAGTATGTATTTTAATTTAATTATAGTGACATTTAAAATAAACCTAATGTAATACACGATAGAGATTAACTTTCAAAATATATATTATACTACAAGTGGGAAATAAAGTTCATTATCCGCTAGCTTAGAACCTTCCAGAACCTAATAAAACATCTATCTTTTCTTTCAACATATCCTCGTTATCTTCGAAATATTCAGCTCTTCTAATGACTTCTTCTTCGTATCCCTCGTCACTCTTTAAGGCCTTGAATGTCTCCAGTTGACTTTCAAGCCAGTTTTCCATAAACTTAACAGGATTCTCACTTAACTCTCTATAGAATGTCTCTCTGGCATTTGCGTTTTGTAAAGCTACTATACCCATCGAAATTCTAGTGTTCAAGTGCTGAATACTTGCATCTGACTTGGTTAAATTTTCGTAAGTTGCTTTCGTAGATTCAATAATCTCTTTTTGAGTTTTAGATACCGACGATGGCAATGACACAGGAATATCTACTATTAAGTCGCCCAAAGTAGTCGATTTTCTTGTGTTTATTTCATAATCAATGATGACTGGTTCCCTAGGTTTGAAATGTGGTTGTAATAATCTATAAAGATCAGAAAACTTGAAATTAGGAACCTTTAGTAATTCGCTCAAAATCACATCACATTCAATGTTATTAAAATCATCATCTTCCTCGTCTTCAAAATTGCTAGCAACCCCGTTTCCGTTTAAAATTGTAGAAGAATTCGAAACAGCAGGGACCTTTGCAAATGCATCTGACTTTCTGAATAAGTCTTTATATAATACGTATTGCCAGATTGCATATATTAACTCTTGTTGTGTTGCTTCCTGTTTGCCGACAAAACGAGACATCTCGTCACTTAATTTCAAACTTGTGGATTGGTCCTTTATCATTATGGCAATTTTAGATTTAATGTTGAATATTCCAAATCTTTTGACGTCCAAACCGTCGAATTCAGATTGTCTATTATTACCACCAAATTTGGCGTCTGGTTGGTGATCAATAGATTCATCTCTCCATTCGATTATATTGGAAGGAGAGTTTTGCATATCTGGATAGTCGTCATTGGGCAAAATATCAATGGAAATCCCCGACAAGAATGAACTGAATTTCAAGTTCTGGCTTACATCATTATCAGTATTATTAGTATCGTTTAAAAACCTACCTTCAACCCTCAACGTCCAAGCCGATTCCGCAGAAGTTGGATCCGGTAATTCCTTTCCTTCGTTCTGCAACAACTGCTTCTGCCATGGCTGGTTCTCGCATGTGTTATAAATAAATACTCTCAAAATTCCGGTTTCCTTTTTCAAAGTTGAGTGCTGGTTAATTTTGGCATTAATCGCCTGAAAATCCATCGCCTTTCTTGTAGTTAACAAATCAATCTTACGCTCCGCTTCCTTGAGATTTTTATACAATTCTAAGTTTGGTATCTTTTCGTATAATATCGGTGGAATAGTAGTATCTGTTGGTGTATATGATATGGCGGGCGCCGTTGAAGGATTAGGACGTGGTTTTGAACCAACATCCTGTCCACCTACTGGTGGCTGTTGCTGTGGTGGTACTAGAGGCGCCATACTGAATACTTTATATCTTAATCCTAGATTAGATTACACTAGACTCTGTTTACTATACAGTTTTGGTGTCTTGAAAAGTGTTTTTGTTATTAGGATCAATGAACCACGAGTAAAAATGTCTCTAATTTTGAAATGTCGTACAACCACTATAATGTCGTATTTATCAAATTTATATAGGCTTACTTGAATGGTCCTATAAGAACTAGTGTTCAATCTAGTGAAGTCAGATTACTAAATTCAAGCGTAGATCTATCGATTCGTACTTAGAATTTTTATATTGGGTCACATACATAAGAGGTGTCTGCTCATTGTTGATGTCACTGAAAGCAAATGTTAGTACCAGCGGAGAGTCGGCTAGGAACAAGAAGGTTCTTAAGCGTAAGGTACAACACAGGGATGATACTACAGGTGGTGGAAATAATAGTCAATTCTTGAACCATGCTTCACATTTGAAAGCTGCTCATATGAACCAGATGAGGAAGAGAAAGAGGGATTTCTTTAATAGAATTAACTACAGCCAGACGCTATGTGTGGTAGTTCTACCGTTATTTGCATTAGTGTATTTGTTCAAGTATTGTCCAGGGTTGGTTCCTGAAAATACGGCGACGTTGATTTTTTCTTGTATATATTATAACTTTACGATGTTGGCGTTCACATCTGGATACCATAAATGTTTTGCGCATAATGCATTCAGGCCACAGTTCAAGTTTTTGCAGATGTACTTTGCGGTTTTTGGGAGCAGTCTCGGATTGGGGTCAATTAAGTGGTGGGTATCTTTACATAGGTCGCATCACCAGTTCACAGATGACACCGAACGAGACCCATATCTGATCAAAAGGGGTTTCACATGGGCACATTGGGGCTGGTTAATTAAGAAACCAAAAATAGTCACATTTTACGAAGAGTTTATGGAACACGAGTTTCCACAAGAAATGCAAACCAAAAAGGATCACCTTGAAGCTAAACGAACATTGGTAAATGAAGTTGATTTTGACGAAGAATACTGTGACGATGAGTTGGAGATTTTGAAAAATAATTATGAAGTCAATGTCCATGAGCTTATTTTATGGCAAAATAGGTATTACTTTTTATTCTTCATAATCTCCACGTTATTTATTCCTATGGCAGTCACGGTTGTAATTTGCAAAGATACCTGGATAAACGGAATATTATATCCAGGTATTCTTAGAATGTTTTTATGCCAACAACTGATTCTAAGTACAGAATCTGTATGCCATATGAAAGGCTTAGGTGTATCCATCCCTATGCAGCCGTTCAACGATAAGAATTCCTCACAGAACTGTATGAATCCTTTGATAAGTTTGCTTACCTATGGCCAGGCGCTGCAAAATTTTCATCATGAATTTCCCCATGATTATCGCTGTGCGCCATCGTTATTCACATTTGATCCTACTAAGTGGTGTATATGGACTTTATCCAAGTTTGGTTTTGTAAGCGATCTTTGTACAACACCGAAAGACCTTATCACCCAGTTACGGATACAGCAAAAACAGGAAGTAATAAATAGAATGAAAAGTCAGTTAAACTGGGGTACACCAATTTCGAAACTACCATTAATCAAACCAAAAGATTTCAAGAAAATCAGCTCTTCTGCAAGTCACAACAACAGAATATATATTGTCATCCAAAACATCATCCATGATATTACCTCGTTTATGGACCAACATCCTGGTGGGGTGCCATTATTAAAAGCTTCACACGGCAAGGATGCAACTAAGGCATTTTATGGCGGCGTCTATGGACATCTGACTGCGGCTGCGAACTTATTAGCTACCATGAGAATTGGTGTTCTTGATGTCGGTAATGATGAAGAGGTCTGGAAGAGAGTGGTACGTGAAGAAGGTGATGTCACTAATGAAAATGAAAGACATGAAAATAGGCTGTTTAGGTCAGCAGAGGCAGCTTGATTATTGTTTTTTCAAGCCAAGTATTCATGCTAATCGCTTGCTTGACATTAAGTCATAAGCGTAACAAATCTAATGAATAACCACTATACGAAACTTTCTATGATTCATATATAATAATAATACTAATAATACGAATAATAATAATGATAATGTAGGCTGCTATGATATTGTATTTCTAATACCTGTATATAATGTTCAACATGAGATTTTTCACTCTTACATAGGTACTTAATTCGTTCTTCTATATAGTATAAGTGTTTCATTCACGTTGAAAATGGCCATCTTAACCATCAGGGATTATCGTGGGGCAACGGTAGAAGACTTAGATATAAAACCAGCTATTTCAATTAATCCTACTACTCATTTGAATGAAGCATTGGAAGTAGCATACGAGCATGAATTCACATACTTACCAGTAATCCATGAGTCAAATAAGAAGCTTTTAGGAATTTTCAATGTCGAAGACTTGAAAACCACAAGTAACGCAGAAAACAAAGTTCGTTTGGCGCCGCTTGTGAAGAACCACATGTTATGGTTCCACCAGAAGGCAAAAGATAACTACGAAAATGATCATCAAGAACCACAAAAGATTAACAAGACGGCACTTAATACTACAATCTTGAAACCTCAAACCAAGGGCAAATCGTTCAATATTATAACACCCATGAGTCCTTTGGAGGATTTGGCTAAATTTTTTGCTGAGGGGGTTTATTTCGCCATTATCACCAACGATGAAGGAACCCTTGTTTACGGAGTGGCCACTCCTGAAGACTTAACGAGATATGAAAATTCCAGACCAAGATTATGATACATTGTTAGATGATGTATTCATTCAGAAGATAGTACTTATATATACCTATATAACATTTAATGAAATATTAGTTTATAAACCTTGTTTGTATCTGGTAAATTATTGTGGAACTTCTAAAACGAGTTTACCAGTAGTCTTTCTTCCTTCTAAATCAGATGTAGCCTGTTTATATTCAGATAATGGATATGTTTTCAGGATATCAATCTTCAAATCTCCAGAATCGATTAACTTGAATAACAAACGAACATAATGTTCCCATTCTTCGCTCGTAGTAACGTATCCCATTAATTGAGGTCTTAAAACAGTTAAATTCTTTGGTGATAACCTATTTATAGATAATGGTGGGACAACTCCGGAAGAGTTACCATAACTGACGAATGTACCCTTCCTTGCTAATGAGGTAAGGGTAATCTCTGCCGAGTCCTTTCCAACACTGTCAAAAGATGCATTGACCCCTTTACCGTCGGTAATTTCTTTAACTTTCTTAACTATATCATCAGTGAGGTGGTTCACTACATATTCAGCACCGTATTTTTTAGCTAATGCTAACTTTTCCTCCGTGGATGCAATGGCAATAACATGAGCACCTCTTTGCGAAATCAATTGAGTTAAGATTTTTCCAACTCCACCAGCTGCTGCCCAGACCAAAACATAATCACCTTTTTGAACGTGATAGGCCTCATGGATAAATGTGAGTGCCGTTAATCCTTGTAATAACGCAGCCGCATAAAATTTAAGAGATTCATCTGAAGTGCCAGGATCTAATTTCAAGATCTGAACGTAAGAGTCAGTCAACTTAGTATACTGAGCAAACGTCGATCCCGATAAGTAGGCTACCTTGTCTCCAACAGAAAATTTGGTTACCTTATCACCAACTGCAACAACTACCCCAACTGCTTCTCTACCAAATATACAAGGCTTTTGAGATGGGTAAACTCCCTTACGGAAGTATGAATCAATGAAGTTCACACCAGCAAACTTATTCTTAATAATGATTTCGTTAGGGGAAGCAATCTTTGGAGTATCGAAGTCTGTATATTTTATAACATCAACAGAGTCGCTATTCTCTTCGAATAAAACTACTTTTTGAGTATCTGGGAGTTCATTTGAAGACATGTTTCTTAAATTTACGAATTGGTTAGTTTTTATGTTGATAATTGACTACTTTTAAATTCAATATCACTTTTCTTAACCCATATATATTGATATAGTATTGATTAATAATTCTTACAAACTCTAGGATTTCGTATTTCCGAATTTGCGGAGGTACCGGAGATGTCGCAATTTCACACTATGGAGTCTATTGACGTCTTTCAAAATACAACAAAAAACAGTATGGCTTAGTCTATTCACTATGTATAGTTCTGGTCCAAAAAAGAACCATGGCTCATTAACCTCCACAATATGTAATTTATGATTATTGGATATAATAGGGAATGGCGTGAAGTCCAATAATAGCTTCCGTCAAGTTAATTAGTTACCACCTCTTCTGTTCTTCCTGGGTTTAGTGATCTTGCCACTCTCATTTTGCGTTGTAGACGATATGTTCAGTACGTTATTTGATTTAGCATTTTCTGCTAGTAATCTTTCCACCTTGTCTCCATGCTTAACTTTCATCTGTTGGCCGCTCGTAGGGTCATCTTTAAATGCATAGGTTACTGACACCTTTGAATTCATCAATATTGCACCGTCCATTTTCTCTATAGCGGTATCACTGCTGGCGAAATCATCGAAACTTATAAAGCCATAACCTTTAGACTCTCCACTCTCCGGATCCCGAATAATAGATGGAGACCTGACAAGCGTACCAAATTTTGAGAAAGTGTCTGCTAACGATTGCTCATCGATTAATGGGTTCAAGTTATTAACGAAAATTTTGGCGCCAATATCCATCGCATTGCTTGTGGTGGTAACCCCAACCAGTTGTTGTGAGCTTCCTTTGAAATTGGGCTCTGCCTTTTTGAGCTTTAGCATTTTACCGTACAACCGTATACCTCTTAAAATATTCAAAACATATTCAGCATCTTTAATTGTTCTGAATTCAATAAATCCGTATCCTTGGTGGGTTTTCAAAACTCTGTCTTTCGGAAGGTTTAGCGATCGTATTGGAGCAAATTGAATAAATAATTCATACAAGAGTGGTTCGGTTACCTGTGGATCTAAATTCCCGAAATATAACGATGCTTTAACATTCCTATCAGAATCAGGAGGTTTTCTAAATACACTAGTCATCAGTTATATTGCAAAATGTTATTTCGTTATCTAATGATACCTAGTAACCTCTTATGATTAGCCTCATCTTGAGAATATCTCGGTTGCGTGCATAAACCAGAACGTCTAAATGGCTGCAACAGAAGTATTAATGGAACAAACTACACTGTTAAAATAATGAAGATTCTCGTAGGGAGATACCTACGTCTGAGGAATGATTCCTATTATAAGCTATTCTTAAAATTATGTTTATGATAGACTATGTACAGACCTTATAAAAGCATCTACTTGCATCCTAAAATAGTCATTATTCTTGTGTTTTATTCAGGTACAGCCTGTGTTGGAGCTTCTAAATCAGCGTCGAATGTTACCTTGAGAGGTTTGGAAGAAGATTCCTCTGGAGCTTCGTCTGAGTCGCTTTCATTATCGGTATTCTTTTCATCAGAATCGCTTTCAGTGTCACTGTCGGAATCACTATCGCTGGAACCACTGCTGTCGGTATCATCTGAGGAGCCAGATTCAAACAGACTATCCGGCTTCGCATAGTTATAGGCTTCCTCTTCCTTTATTATGCGATTCTTCCACGTATCAGCATTGAATGTAATGTATATGGTAGGATATTCTAGTACAATCTTATTGGTAAGGGCGTCGGAGATCAGATCAGCTTCATTCAAGTGAAGGACCGAGTCTTTCGTTTTATCGTTGCCGACAACATTTGCCAAATAAAAATGCAACTGCTTTTTGTCAATATTTCTTGCAGAATCTCCCCCTTCGTTGACGGAAACTGCATTACTCAAGATGTTCATTGGGACCGCATCTCTCAATAACAAATGTTCCTTCAACCTATAACTTATAAACCGATCTTTCTCATTACCAGCATCATCTATAACTACCCATTCGACAGTCCATATAAACGACCCTGCCTTCTTATCATAACCAGTTTTATTCGAAGTTGCTCTGGACATCCCCGGTGGTAGTTGAATAATCATGGTATTATTTCTTTTGATCACCGTAGTAGGTTCCTGAGAAAATGCGTTTTTTACACATTCAATTCTACTGTCTACAATTTCTTGGGCATCGGCATTATTACCCTTGAATCGTTTGTTCTTATTCTGGTTCCCTCCGCCAAATTGACGTTTAAATATATTTTTAGCACTACTCTTTATGTCTCCTTTACCAACATGTATTTGTCGTCCCACATTCATGAGAAAATTGTAGTCTCTGTTGATGTGGGTTTCGTCCTGTGATAATATCTTCTTCGGTACAAATTTGGATTGATCTACTAGTCCACTGCATTCTGTTTGTCTCTTATGTCTTCTAACGCAGTTAATTGAGCATGTCTTCACCCCACACGCAGGACATGTATACTTATGTTCGTTTAGATGGCATATCGAACAGACTAGGTTCTCTGGTATCATTGAATGCTTTTAAATCACCGTAACACCTTCTTTATGGTCTAGTATCTCTATGTCATCAGTATCAAAGTTCTGAATTATTCGCGTACCTAAAATTTATCGGCGTAAATTTGGGTACTAAAAAATCAATAAATTTTTCGCCCAATTGATTCCAAAGAACTAACTGGCATAGTATAGACAATACCTTCAAATCACCACATAGTCTAAGCAAAAAGTAGCAGATATTATGTTGAATGCTCTAGGGAAGGAAGTGAACTCCTTAATATCAAGACCTTTGATAAGACATGGGTCAAGAAAAATCAAACATAAGGTACCTGAAAAAATACCTGTTCAATTATTGAAAAATCATCCAACAGTGGGCCTACAAGGGGAAATAGTGAGAGTCAGACCAGCATTCATGAGAAACTATTTGCACAGAGATAATGGTGCTTGTTATCTTACCAAGGACCAAGGACCACGTATTCCAGTTGCTGAAAAATCCAGACAAAAGGAAAGAAAGCCAGTAGTAGAAGCCAAGATCGACGCCAACACAGTCGAACAAGCGGAGAGCCAAAATGATGATGGAAATACTGGAGCAATGTCTTTGGACGAATTATCGAACTTATTTAACACCATGAAGAGTGGTAGAAGGTCTAAACAAGGTGCTGAGGCCGACGAACTGAAGCAAGCTTTCGAAGCAAGCACCCAGGAAATTGCATACACCGCATCAGAATTACAACAAGCTATTCCAAGGGTACACACTATTTTGTTGAATGACACTGTCAAGCTTCCTATTGATAAGTCTTATGTGGCATCTTTAATCTACGACATGGCTGGGGTTCAAATCCCACATGCCTCCATTAAGTTGAGCACTATCGCTAATAGTAGGGCATTGCTCAATGAAATCAGTGCTGTTGGTGATTATATGATGACTTTAGATGTTCCAGGTGACAGAAACGGTGTTCAGAGAACACTCAGAATTCAATAGTTGCTTATGGCTTTATCATATGTTGGAAATGCTAGAACAATGTATTATTAGTGCCTATTCTATGTATATAACCATTTTGTAAATATTAAATAAACATTAGATTAATGAATATAGTACTGTAGGCATTATCTAAGTGCGGCTCTGAAAAATATACTGGAACCTATATCTTAGCAAATCGATTTTGATGTTCTTTTTCTTTATCTATAACAAATGGGATCCAACCTTAAGTACAGTGCTGCCAACTCATCGAGAATAACGAAGAGGACTATCAATACGTCACCGGTTAAACAGGCTCAGAAAGACTTGAAAAAGTATCTACCATCGCAGACAAAATATTTGCAGAATTTAAAGAATAAGAAAGCTTTAAGTCCATCACCCAAAATATCGGAAGGCAAACAAGACGATGTACCACTTACTGTCCAAGATTATAATGTGCAGCTAGACTACCAACTTTCCAAGAAAGATGATTTATTGGTAGCGGTCGATACTATTCTTGATAACCAATGGTCTGAATCAACTACTCTTCATTCTAGGTTTCACACGAGACAAGAAGTACAAAATTCCCGTAATAATGAAGATCTTTTGTTTCTGCTACCTGGGTTATCCATGAAGGTTAAAGCAGAAGTCATTAAATATAGGACAAATCAATTACCTCACGGTGTAATTACGATAAACCAGCTTTATTCCATCTATGAGCATCAGGGGAATACATTTGTAGATAGAAACTTAGAAATGAGAATTCGGGAAGGGAAACTTCGAAAGTTTGTTATAACCAATGCGTCGCCGATTATACTGAGATCTCCTCAAAAATTTCAGCATGGTAAAGTGACATATGGCTATGAAAATGTGGAAGTAATAGTTAAATCTGAAAACTATTTGAATAACATACAGAGCCAGATAAATAGATTGGTGAATGAAATGAATGCCCAAGATATACTGGTAAATGAAAAGGCTAATAAGGCGTCCTTGTGTGAATGCTTGCAAAAATTTCTTCAATTTGTCATCGACCACCCTACTGCACTTTTCATAAATAATAACCAAGGAATGAATAATCAAGAGCTTTCAAAATTGGTATCGCTAGGATATATAACATTAACTTCGAACCATTTAAATGAAATAGAATCGCATCAGTATTCAATATCTTATCCAAATTGTGGTACTTACCTTAAGCTTATTAATGCAGGGCGTTCATGGGTGGTCAAAAGCTTGAGTAAATGTAAGTATAAAGAATTACTTGAAGAGCATTTATTTAACAGATGGGAAGGTCTCAATACAAGTTTTAATGGGACTTCGAAAATGAACAATTTTAGAAGTCCTTTCTATGGATATGACTTATTTTGGATATTAGCGGATGCGCTCGGAGCAGGAGTTGTAGAGGTATTTAACACCCCTGTCGGAAGGGGTTGGCGATTAACAGGGAAAGTTTAAACGTTTGATTAACATAAGTATTATTATATAAAAAAATTGTATTTACTAATACAAGATATGAACAGAGAATTTCATGTTCATTAATTTAAAACAAGACTAGAATCAAATATCACATCTTAACCCGTTGTTTTCTTTGAGCTTTTCTTTGTCTCTTTTCAGCTTCTTTCTTCTCAAGCTTGACTTGTTCTTCTCTGGACAAATTTCTCAAATTTGTCCTTTCAGCTCTTTTTAACTTAGCCTTTTCAGCAGCTAATTCTTCTTGTTTAACATCATCTAAAACCTTCTTAATCTTAGAAATTTCGAGTTCTCTTGTCTTCACGATTTTCTTTAAGGCTTCGGATTTAAAGGTAATCTGCTTAGAAGCTAATTGATCGACTAAATTGAAGATAGCAGCTAATATTTCAGAAAGTTGAGCTAACTGATCATCATTACTAGTTAAAGTGGTTGAAATAAGAATTCTTTGCTTTGGTGCACACTCGGAAATTGTTTCTGGTCTTTCAATTGGTTGATCGGTGATAGCAATAAATCTTAAGAAAGAAGCAGCCTGCAAAGTTAAAGCCTTCTTCAATTCTGGAGTCAAAGTCTTCTCTTGAAATTCGTTCGCCTCACTCATAAACACAAATGATTCTGGGATATTAGCAGAATCAGAAGTTCTGGTCAAAGACAAGAAATAATTGAATTTTCTAAAATCGTTCATACCAAGCTTAGAGACAATAGCAGTGATGAAATTGTCCAAGTTTGCTTCAGATGAAGGAGTAATTTCAATATTAACTTTATCAGTAGGATAAACAACTGATTCTGAGAAAAACGACATAACAGACTCAAGGATCCAAACAAAAAGATTGTGTCTAGGTTTCAACTTGATATCAATGTTAACCTTAGCAATATTAATTCTTCCAGTTGCATAAGACGAGTAATCCTCTGAGCTATCCTTGATATACAAATCTTTTTCAGAAACACCATACTGGAAGAAGTTCTTCTTGAAAACATCGCCCAACCCTTTTAAGTAAGATGTCGTCAAATATTGATTATAGACATCACCAGCCTTAAAGAGAATAATAAAAACAATTGTAAACCCAAGAGTAAGGTATTCTAAATTCCAATTGTGGACCTTCAATCTTTGTATAAGAGTCATTTCGCTAAGTTCAGCAGCATTGAATTTATGGGTAGTACCAAAACTAAAACAAGTTAGAAAATATTCACTTCAATCAAATTAAAATTCTTCGAATTTACATACAGATCAATGGCCATAACCATTGGAGAGAAAGCTAAAGCCAAAACTATACCTCCTATCATTTTATCACTAGCTATTTAAGTAGGCAATTATTTCTATTGATATGGTGGATTATTTTTCATAATAATGAACGACTTGTCCACTTACTGCGAAAGGCTTTTGTGTAACTTCAATTTCCAATACTAGTTAAGGCATAATAGCCACTGTTTATCTATACTAACGTACATTATTACCCCATATTATACTATATTATACTACTTCTACTAGATCCTAGATCCTAATCCTTTCTCTTTTTTGATGAAGGAGCCTCGTCGTCTTCGAGGTCTTGTCCGCTCTTGTACTTAGACATACCTTCTTGAACAGCACTTCTAACGAGGTCTCGTAATGCCTCTTCTGGGTTTTCACTATTCAATATCAGCTCAATTTTCTTACGTCTTTCCTCATCGTCAATGCTATCCTCTTCGCTAGGTGCTTCGTTTTCCATAGTATATCTTATCTGGTGACCATCTATATTTCCTGGAGCTGGTAACGAAGCAAGCGAGTCATCTCCAGAGACACTAGTTTGTGGTTGGTCATGAGATAATGATCTTAAATATTGTGCTAATTCCGGGAATTCATCGTCCTCTTCAATGTATTCTGCTGGTATTTGACCTTCGTTATTCTTAATCTTCCAATTAGCCTTCAACTCCTCTACCATTAATTTGGCAGTCTTAATGTCTTCTACATGATGCAATGGAGCATCGCCTTCATTGTCTTGCACGTTGATGTCCCCTCCCCTTTTTATCAATAATTTCAATAAGCCTATATGACCATACGATGCTGCTGCATGTATTGGAGTGTATCCATTTGGATCTTTTGAGTTTGGTGTGAAATCACCATCGTCCAAATATGATTCAACAATTTTAACCTGGTTGTCTGCGGCTGCTACCCAGATATTTGAAACCATAGTTACTACAATCTGTCTAATGCAAATGATTGCAAACTGTATTGGGATGAGCTTCTACTACTTGAAAAAAATTGTCACCAATTTCTCGTTGCGGGCACGATCATAATTTTCCGGGACATAAATATCATTATCGTCCTAAACACACCAACAACTATATATACGCTAATAGGACTATGTCAGACCTTACAGATGCGCCACAGGCTAATACTGATACGCTTATGACATCGCCACCCGAAAAGTTGACCGGATTCGAATGGTGGAGGAGATCATTACAGTATAGAACTGGAATGGGCATATCAGAAGATGAAAAAAAACAGTTTGAACATGACTACAGAGCTAAGAATTTACCTAAACAGTGCACTAATTGCGTGACTAACCTCGACTGGATGCTAAATTATTCACCTTCTGTTATATTTATGATGGACCATGTAAAGAAAATTGGTGGAAATATTAGTAAATCCAATATTATCTGCGATATTTGTGACGACTATAAGGGAGGAGGATTTCATCCAGAAGGTGGAATATTATTGTGCTCTAATTGGATCAATGACAAATGGCAATTAGAAGACATTTTGACCCATGAATTGGTACATGCATATGATTTCCTCAAGTTTAAAGTAGATCTCACCAACTTAAAGCACCATGCGTGTACTGAAATCAGAGCCTCGATGTTGAGTGGTGAATGCCGTATATTTAACGAAATCAAGAAAACCGGGCTAGGTGACTTTGGTAAAAAGTTCCAATCTTGTATCAAAAGAAGAGCTATCTTGTCTGTTTCAGCTAATCCTAATTGTAAAGATACCCAGGAAGCAGAAAAGGTAGTCAACACTGTATGGCAGTCTTGTTTCAATGATACAAGACCGTTTGAAAGAGTGTATCGTTAGTTAGAATAAATCCAATTGATTGCCGTGTATATAGAATATTAATAATCGATGTTCCATCGTATCTATTCCATGTATGGAATTTTTCGCATTCGCAAGTAAAAGTAGACCGCAACCAACCTGAAATAGTGAAAAAAATCATCCATCGAAGAAAAGAGTCCTTATTGTTGACAGTGAATCGTTAGCAGGATGGTTCGCGAATCCAATACAGATGAAAAGCTTTCGACAATTGTTGATAGAAATGATGGAAGGAGAAAATCACTTGTTCTTGATGATGACTATGATGAGAAGGGAATACTGCAAGGTTTAGATGATCAGTATGAAGCTGCGATCAAACTGAGTAATGATACGCCATTGGAGGGTACCAGCAATGTCTCTGATACAGACGATTCGAAATCGACTATATCTGAAACCATAATTCAACCAACCGGAGATAACCAGGTCAATGTTGAACCCCTAATGAAGAAATTGGACGAAATTCACAATGCAGCTCCTACAAGACTTAGAAGAAGAAAAAGTAAAGGGAAAGCAACGGCTGAAAAGAAGCAAGCTACAAATAAAACAGAGGAGCCAAGATTCAGATCTGGATTTGGAGATATCAAATTTTATTCTGTGCTGTCTACTATTTTCGATTCAAGCTATTTTAAAAATTCGGAATTCTTCGGAATATACGTGCTTTTCTGGCTAGGCACAGCTTTCCTTATGATGAACAATATTGTTCATTCGTACTTTGAGAGTAACGAGGGATTCTTTCATACTGCAGTGATGAAGACTTTGAGGAAAGATTTAGTGAAAATTGGTTTTACTGATTTGGGGATGTATCTCGGTACATATTTTGCCTTTTTTCTTCAATACGCATGCTTAAAGGGTTGGATTGTGTGGGATTCAAGTGGTTGGATAATTCAAGCTGTCTACGATTTTATTCATGGTGCTTTCTGGCTCTATTTTGCATCCGAGCAGTGTATGTCTTATCCATGGATTGGTAAGGTGTTCTTAGTATTACACAATCTCGTATTCATCATGAAAATGCATTCTTATGCATTTTATAATGGCTATCTATGGCAGATACTAAGAGAGTTGGAATTTTCAGAAGATTATTTGGAGAGATTAACTAATGGTATGGTTAGATTGCCAGAGAAGTATGACTTGGAAAGAACAAAAAATATTT